GTGTCGTGGTTCCTTCCTCGTTCGGAGGAGGAGGAGGGCCCGCTGTGGGAGCGGTAGGGCCGCTGTGTAGCGAAGGCGTATTTGCAGGGTCCCCGCCCGTCGCGGGTTGCGCAAGGTGGGCCACGCTTACCTGGCGGTGACAGGCGCCCGTCGTGCTGACCTGCGGCGCTGCAGACTGCTATTAGAAGGGCAGGCTTGTTTTCATTTCTTGATGGATTCGGCAATTGTGTTGCTGCAGGGGAAGCAAAAAAAAAAAAAAAAGGCACACAGGAAAAATGCATTAATAAGTTAGATTATGTATAGCGTGAAACTGCTCTGCTCTATTTCTAGTTCAAAGGCTTCATACTGGCATCGCTACTGAGAGAAACCCATCCCTTCAGTTAGCACAAACATTTGTGTGTGTGGCCAGCAAGCCTGACCGAAAGATTGATTGGGGACCTAAGTTAATTTGATGGATTTTTATTGTTTTGTTTTGGTGTGCTCATTTGAGTTACACTGGTTTGCCAAGCTGCTTTGCCACGCAGCTGTATAGACACTTGCGCAGTTCTGAGGAAGGGGCGTCAGGAGGAACGTGGGACTGATTCTTTGTGTACTACAGTCAGCTTATTGTACTGTAGAACTGCTCAACAAAAGTCGTATACTGCCCTGTAGGCCTGGATTATGCCTTTCTTTTGTGGTGTTGAGAGAGTTATTTAAACCTCGGTTCTTGTAGGCAGCTGTTACATATGTGAGGGTTTGTTTTGTTGTTCTTTTTTGGTGGGGGGGTGTGTGTGTTTTGGTTTGTTTGTTTGTTTTCCTGGGAGTGCAGATTGAAACCAAACTGTTCTCTTGGCAAATTTGCTGGGCGTTCTTAATCCCCATCAAATTGGGAATGTGGGAATGCAGAATAGAAGAGACCACTTGGGTCATGGAGTGTAGTGCTTTTGGAGGACTAGCATACCATCAATGACTACTTAAGTAGTGTACACCTTTTGGCCAGATATCTGCATTTTATTGAAAATAAACGAACAACCCCCCCCTCCCCCTTGAATTACTTTTTGATATCTTTTCGAAGTTACAGTACTGGCCCTTTTGAACTGTTTTTTGAACTTCTAAAGATCTCAGATGTGAATCGCTGTACATTAGAGACTATATGCATAAGATATTAAATGTGAATGATGTACAATATATTTCAAAATAATCCAGGAAAGCTGACCCCAAATAAATACTAATTATTTCTATCATGCTTTTACAGCAGCAGTATCAAAGTGCCCTGTTCTGGGCAGACAAAGTAGCTTCACTGTCTCATGGTAAGTAGTTGCTTTTTACGTTGTTTTTTATTAACTTCTTTCAGGTAGTGTTCTGTTTTGTTTTTGTTGTTTTCTTAAAGCTGTTTGGCTAAATGTTGAAGTTTTGAGTTTGGTGTAAGTGCTTTTCAGTGATCTCTGGAATGCCATTTTTCTAAATAGAGCAGGGCCAGTCTTCCTTCCCTTTTGAACTTTGTTGAAATTAATGTTCGGTCAAACCTTAAGGTTTGCCTACCTTAAGAGACAAAAAAAAAAGAGCGACTTACAAGAGGCAGCGGTGGTTTCCTATAGGATTCACTGTTGCTCTGGGTGACAAGTAGAATGCAGGTTTACAGAGTGAGTTGATGCTGGTAGCCCATGTCTGCATACAACCATGGTCCATTTACACCTCTGAAAATGATTCTAGGGGCTTGATCCCGCAAAAGCTTTGGTTGCCAATAAAGTGGGAGAGTACTAAGTTGTGCTTCTGCAATCGTAACTTCAAGCTGCAGAAGTCTAATGCTTTCACTTTCACTGTTGTGAAAACTTTGTAACTCAGTAGGATGCTGGAATAGGGGAAAAATACTTTTCTAGTGAAGCAAAAGTGAATATTCTGTATGAAAGTGTTTAAAGATACATTATAAATTAATGGTTTATAATTTGTTCTTTTATTTTAGAGGAACCACAAGATATCTACTGGTTGGCCCAATGTCTTTACCTAACAGCTCAGTATCATAGGGCAGCACATGCCCTTCGATCGCGTAAGTTGGATAAGGTAAGTCACTTAACTACTGTTATTCCACTTTTAAACCTCTGCTGCTAAGCACAGTGACTTCTTCACCATCAGAGGATAAGGTTTAGGGGAAAAGTAATTAAAAAACCTGCATGATGTAGTTTATCTGAACCAAGTATAGCCCTGTGTTCAATTGGCCAGATTCAAACTGTTGTCCCCAGATAGGGTCACAGAAAGAGAAAGGGGTCCAAGGATGTAACTGCAGCAGGTGTGGGAAGATGGAGTGTCACTTCAGCTGTAGTTGTTTAAGTTGTCCTTCCACTCTGCTAGTGAGTGATGAAGGCAAGAGTGAAGTAAGTGTCCTTTGAGAGTTTAATAGTAGAGAAAGTGTTACAGACTTAGTCATTTTGGTCAGGAAAGATTTTTGGAGGTGAAGGGGATGAAGCCGCCATACAACTGAAAAAGGAGAGAGCGAAATGGAGTCTAGCAGTGTAAGTACACATG